CAGGTTATTAAGAAGGCAGAGATCACAGACTGCAGGGAGCCTGGGACCCTGAGCCACCGGACCAGGGCTCTATCTGTCACAGCATCTGTCAGCCCTGGCCTCAATGGATGCAGCTGGTTTTGTAAATGACAGAATAATGTCTGTGTCCTGATCTCTGAAACCTGTGACTATATACCCTTCCATAGCAAGGGGGGAATTAAGGTTGCAGATGGGATTAAGGTGGCTAATTTTCTGACCTCGAGGTGGGAGATTATCCTGGATTAGCCAGGTGGGCCCAGCATAATCACAGGGGCCTGTAAGCAGGCAAGGGACGCAGAAGAGAAGTGAGCCAGATGGAGACCTAAGCACAGAAGCGGGGCAGAGGGAGGCTCTGCTGCTGGCTTTGAGGATGGCAGAAGAGACCACGAGTCCAAGAGTGCAGGCAGCTTCTAGAAGCTGCAAAATGCAAGGAACAGATTCCTCCTGGAGCCTCCAGAGGGAACCCTGATTTTCACCCAGTGAGACCCATGTCGGGCCTCAGACCTCCAGGACTGTAAGAGCAAATGTGTGTTAAGAAGTCACCACCTTCACGGTCATTTGTTACAACAGCCAAGGAAAACCGACGCAGATCTCTTCCGGAGTAATCCGTGGCCTTGGTGGCCAGGAAGGCAGTGCTAACCCAGGGGGACAGGTGAGGGGAAGGAATCTTCCTCCCATCCACTGTCCCAGAGATGGGCTGGCTCCTCCCAACACCGTGGCTGACAGAGAGTGGCCGGTAGTGACGGTGCCCGTGGGTAAACAGAGGCACAGCGTGAGGAATTCAGGCTTTTGCGAACGTGCCCTCCAGTTAGGAGACAGTCTGGGTGTTCATGCCCTTGGTTATTCTCGCTCCCTTCTTCCTAGATACTTTCGAAGTCCTGGGGATGCTGGGACCAGCCCGGCCCTGGGAACAGAGACAAGAAACCCCACGGGAATAACCAGGAGAAGGCAGAGCCGGGGCGCAGGCTGGAGTTAAGGTAGGAGGAAGGGCCTGGCCTGGTGGTTCTCAGAAACCTGGAGAAAGTGCTGATGTGAATGAAGGCTTTTTGTGGGGAGCAGAGCAGGTGGCTGTCCAGACAGAACGAGTCCACAGACCACCCAAGCACCCCTCCAACATGGCAAGTGAGAAAGCGGGAGCCCCAGGAACAGGGCTATGCCCACAGCGCCAATCTTGGCCTGGTTTTCTGCAACCCCACCCCACCGTCACCAGTGGGGTCTACAGCTACTACTGTGTCTGTCAATAATGAGGTCAGTAGCCACTCCAGTAGTGTCTCAGCTCAGAAAGGACATCTAGGCCCCGTGTGGCACCACTGCTGGGCTACCACTGAGCTGTGCAATGCAGCAGCCCCAAGAGCCATGCAGAGAGCACATTTGCAGAGACCACAAGGAGTTGTGCAGTGTGCAACCTGCACAGCCGTGCATGGCTGCCCTCAGTGCCACCTCAGTGCCACCTCAGTGTCCATCCCCTGATCCTACACAACCAGGAAGACATTATTCTCACCATGCCAGGTTCTGTATCTTGCAAAGATACAGACTTGGAAACTGGGACTGAGTCTCACGCTAAGCCACACTTGCCTCCTACTGCCGACTGGAGCTGCTTCCCTCCCAAGGAGGCTGCAGACGGCATGCAGATAATGGTTCTAGGGAAGTCTGTTCCCATCAGCTAGTGATAAATCAGGAGTGTCCTCTCATTGGAGTTTATGCCGCACACAAGTGGCACATGAGAAATGGGTCCTCCTTCCGCTAATGGCGTAAGAGCATTGGAGAGAGATGAGCTGAGAGCTCACCTACCCCCGGGAGGGAAGGCCACCCAGTCACAAGGTTTTGGTTGTGTCCTCCCACCAGCTGAGACTTCCAGTCAGTGAAGGTTTGTGCTTTGCGTGTTAACTGAGTCCCAGCTGCAGGAGGTCCTACGGCCTTCACAGGATGGCAGTGAAGGCCTAGGAGTTCTGGGGTCACTGACGCAGTCCTCCCATAGCCCTGTCCTCCCCTGAGGGGGGCCCCCCATACAGACCCTAAGAACCATGCTACCCTTGCAGAGAGAGCCCAACAGCCACCTAGAGCCTTTGCCCGTTGGACTATAGTGACACTAACATCTGGTGAGCCCTGTGGGCTGGCCCGGGATACTCAGGAGAAGAATCCAGTGGCACCAAAACCCAGGGCTGCCTTCCACAGCACACACAACCCTGCCTCTGGGAGAGGTCAGGCAGCTGTCCGCATGTCCCTGGGGGACTCGCCTGTCACAAGGGCTCCTGGGGTATCTGCTTCCTTCCTCTGGCAGGAGCTGCTGTCGTCACGCACAGGGTGTCTATGGGGAACCGGGGGTCAGAATGGACTCCATGGCCAGTCACAGCCCTGCCAGGTGGACGTATCCCCTGCCTCCCATACAGGGAGAGGCCTGCCTGCAAGCACTGGGGTAGAAGCCTCCGCCCTGGAGCAGTGACTTGGGAAGAGGGAGAGGCAGGGCTGTGTGTGTATAGGGGGAACAGGTGTACGTGCAGGTACATCTGGGGGGTCTCGGGTGTGTATTTATGTACAGGGGCAGCATGTCCTGGGGCCCGTGAGTGTCTGTGTATTTGTTTGGGGAGTCTGTGTACACGTTATGTGTGTATCCACCTGAGTGTCCATGTGTGTGTCCATGTGGCTTCTGTGCATGCAGGATACTCATGAAGATGGGGTCTGTGTCCTTGTGCCCGTCTCTGGGTATCTGAGTGCACAGGAGACGTCTGGCCCTACATGTGTGTAATTGGCTTGCGTGTGGACCTGTGTGTGTAGTATGTGTGTTTGTGGGACATAGGTGTGTCTGCATATCTGTGTGTATGTCATGTTTGTGGGCTGTGTGTCTGTCTCTACGTGTCGCCTATCTTGTGTGTGTAGCCCTTTGTGTGTGTATGTCCCCACATCAGAGTCTGTCTCCAGGCCTCCGTGTGTCTGCGTATCCTGTCTCCATGTGTCTCTGTGTGTGTCTGTGCCCGAGTGTCTGTCTTCCTGTGTCTGGACGTGCTCCCCCATGCCTGCCCTGCTACCCAGCTGGCAATGCACAGCTGGGCCCAGGAGGCTGCGCCCACCTGCCTGCTGGATGGGAAGTGGCAGGTGTGTAATAAACCATTCGTCACTGTCATGTTTCTGAGCAGCAGCAGCCGCCCCTGGTGAGGCCTGACTTCAGGACGAGCTCCTGGGGGGGTCTCTGACTGGGAAGGTGCCTTGGGCCAGGTGCAGCCTGACGGGGAGCAGCTGGCAGACATGGGCTCCAGCCCCTGCCCCATCCAGCCATGGCCACTGACCTGGCCTCCCAGGTCTGCCCTGCTGGAGGGACACTCAGGGATGTCCCACGACGTCTGCACTCTGCTCCCCTCCACCCGAATGAGGCGAGTTGCAGCAATGACCACTGATAAGAGGGTTCTCTCTAGGGACCAGGTAGCCACCAGCACCAGGGACAAGCCCTGTCCCTGCCATGTGATGGGAGGGCTCAGCCTCAATGACCTGTAAGATGCTGTTTCAGTGCCTGAAATGATGTGTGCACAGATGGAAGTGGGCTCGGCTGGTCTCCGCAGAAGCCCCCAGAGCGCCTGCTCTCACGGGCTCTACCCCACAGATGTAAAGACAGAGAAGAGACTAATTAACTCACCCAGGGTCCCTCAGCTGCTTCATAAATAGCAGCCAAACTCATTCTGGAATTCCACGTGGGGCTCGTTCTGCTCT